GATCCCACATACAGACCGGCCACTCACTGGCTGAGCGAGGTGCGGGCGCAGCACCAAGGGTTGCGATCCCGTTGCCGGTCCCGGTCTGGTACGGGCGCGACACTGAGGGTTGCGATCCGTTGCCGGTCACGAAAAAAAAAAAAAAAGACAAAAAGGGGAAAAAAAAAAAAAGAGTTAACTGTAAAAAATAGAGTTAATAACAGTATCTAACTTACAGGACTATTATGAGGTTTAATTAACATATGAAAAGTAGTTAGAAAAACACACAGTATATAGCAAGCCCATGCAAATGTTAGCTATCATCACCATCATCACCACCCTTCTGCAGCCTCTTGGTCTTTCCTCATCATTCACCTAATAATTTGAGACCTGGCCCATGAGGCTTCTTCCAAAATTGTGTTACCCTGAGTGAGTTCAATGCCGTGTGGATAATCTCTCCTACAGCCTAACTCAACGTCCTGTGACTTCCTCATTCCCATAATGTGGTCTCTGTGTCCCTATCTTTATCTTTGCTCATTCTCCACTTTATCCTGTATGTTTCAGCCAAAGTAAAACACCCACATCACTTGTATCACTCCTTATTTATATCGGAATCTTTTCAGATGCTGATCCTGGATCCATAGAATGCTTTTGTTCCCCACCCTTTGCCAGGATAATTTATCTAACTCTTTAGTCTCAGTTTACATGTCACTTATCTGGGAAATACTTCTTGGATTTCCTCTTCACCCCTACAGGGTTTGACACCTCCCATACCTGCTCTCACACGCCTTGGGCCTACCCATGTTGCAAGACTCTGTACACCTTCTTGAGAATGTGCTCACCTGTTTGTACCCATACCTGCTCTCACACCTCCCATACCTGCTCTCACACCTCCCATACCTGCTCTCACACACCTTGGGCCTACCCATGTTGCAAGACTCTGTACACCTTCTTGAGAATGTGCTCACCTGTTTGCGCCTCTCCCCTTCAGCTTCATCCCCCATCCCCAGCCTGTAAGTTTCTTAGGGACATAAATTGCATTTTGTTTTTTTACCACTCTATCTCTAATGATAAGTATAATAACATATATAACTGGTGTTAAAATAGTTAAACGTTTAAAGAAAATAATGTTGCATGAATGATATAGAACTCTCCTTTCAGCCTGCCTCCAGAACTAATATTATACATTCTCCTCCAGCTGTGGAATCCTGTACAGGGAATTTCTTCATCTGACCCAAATCCTCAAGCCCCTAATCTCTGTAATCAGGCCAGTCTGGTTTACGCCTGAGGCCCTCCTGGCAACTGGCACCTATTCCTTAATACTACTGGATTTTTCATCAGCCATCTGTGGGATCATTAACCATCTACATATCAAGAAGATAAATCAGTTTTGGATTTAGACAGTTTGATTACTCATTATTTATGTGTACTTTCTATGTTTTAATGCTTCCTTGGGTTTTATTTCCCTTGGACTCTTTTAAATCTTCTTTGCAATGAGATATATTCTAATTCCTGTCTGAGGGAAGAGAAAATTGTTACACAAGCCAGAAATCCTAGATGTGGAGGCAGAAGGAAAACAAGGCGACTTAAGAACTTTCACAACCTTTTCCTTTCAGTAATGTGCTCAGATGTCCAAGACCCCTTATTCTACATGAATTTGAATGAGATAAAACTCACCATCACTACAGTAAATTGGCATCACAGCAGAAGCTCCCAACAGAATTGGCCTTGGAATGTCCCTAAAAGCCAGGGGACCCTGAACTGGCATGTTGAGCTCCTTGTTGATGGCAATGAAAGCTGTGTAGGAGCTTATGACTCCAGACTCAAGGCTGATGTTCAACACCTCTTTTTTAGCACTTGCTGGGGTCTCTCTGAAGCCCATGTCCTTGGCCTGGAGCAAGGACTTGGCAGCAAGGCGGTGAATCGTAAGGCTAAAAGAAAAAAATAATTCCCTAGACTTAGGGTAAAACACCCACGTGCCAGTTACTCAGAGTTCTTAAAAGTTAGGGATAGCAGAGGGAAGAAAAAGTCAGATAAGGGGAGAGGTAAGACTAGGGTGGGTTAAAAAGGCAAAGTGATTGTACAGAAACAGTTGAACCCAGAATTAAGAGAATAAATCCAACCCCCGAGGATGGCAGAGGGAAAGAGAGGGAGGGAGGGATAGAGGTTGGAGAGAGAGAGAGAGAGAGAGAACAGCAAAGGAAAACTGTCAATTCTCACTTGCTGTCGGGCTTGGGTTTTACAGAAAACATCACCTTATCCTCGAAACTCTTGCCCTGGAGTGTGTACTGGAGGCACACTTCTCCTGCTGCCTCTGCTGGCTACAAATTAGAGAAGAGTAGAAGTGATGGAAAGGAGCGATCATACAGAGAAGGGTCAGAACTAAGGCAGCTCCCCAACCCAACACATCACAATTTCTGACTAGGAATCAGGTAGCCCAGGAAGCCATAGACCTGAAATGATGGGGAAGGGGGTAGGCTGCCGCCACCTGGCACATGCAATCTCTTGCTGGATCTAAATTCACCTGCCAGCTGTAATGAAATTACTAGGGCTAAACTACTACTATTAGAATATTCTGACTAGAGGAACAAACAAGAATCGGAGCTCACCAGCATCATCCCAGTCAACTGGGCATAGACGATTAACCTCTGACCCCTAAAGAGGGCGTTCTGTTCTGGGGAAAGCTTTTTAGCCGATAGGCCAGGAGGCAAATCCCAGCTCAAACAGATGTCCTCTACCACAGGCTGTAGAGAACGCTTCAGGGATCTAAGAGCCTGATGAAGGAAAGAGAACAAAATACGCACAAATAATAATGACAGTGACAGCTCTGTCAACTGAATATTTATTATGTATCAGATGCTGTGTGACCTCATGCATGATATGCCTAATCCTTAATACTATACTAGGTGGTGGGCTTTATTTCTCTTGCTTTCTACACAAAGAATTGAAAGCTCAGAGATTTTATAACATAAATGTGAATGACGGAAATGTCTGAGGAAGGAGGCCCCTGGAGAAGAAATGGACCCACCTGGGAAACAGAAGCTTAGAAATATAACCAGAGCTGTCTCTCTTTGTGTGTACTGATCAAATGGAATGTCAATTCTCTGCATCCTCCAATCTGTTAGACATATCGCAATTGTTCCTTCCCTTTTTCTTTCTGTCCTTTGCATGGAGGATAGTACACAGTACTGGGAAACAGAAGCTTAGAAATATAACCAGAGCTGTCTCTCTTTGTGTGTACTGATCAAATGCAATGTCAATTCTCCGCATCCTCCAATCTGTTAGACATATCGCAATTGTTCCTTCCCTTTTTCTTTCTGTCCTTTGCATGGAGGATAGTGCACAGTAACAAAAGAGGTCCTGGAGCACAGACCTAGAGCCTCAGTCATGACAGCCAAAGCTCTTAGTTTCTCTGTCTCTCATCTCAACTACTGAGGCCTCAATCTCTTTCAGCATCTCATTCTGGGCTTCCAACTACTAGGACCAGATGCCATTTCTCTAGATACTACAAGGTCTCCTTTTACATAAGGCCAAAAGTGGCCCCACAAAGTATATAGCACAAGGCTTTGGGGATATAGAAAAATGCATCCTGGAGGCAAATTGTTGCCCCTGCCCTTGCAGCAGTGTCCCCCACCTGTCCCACACTTGGTCTGGATTGCCACTCTGGACAAACGGCCTCACCTTGGACTGCATCCTTTCCTTGCCGGTGATAAATTCTGAAGTGCCCCCTGATGCGCGGGCAATGCCTTTTATTAAGCTGGTGGAGGCCCCTTCTCCAATACCAAATGAGAAACATCTGCAACTGTAAAAGGAGAGAGGTTGGAGACAGGCGCTAAAGAATGAAATTATGAAATTAACATATAATGCTCAAAAATACATGAAGATATGGTCTACTTTCTTGACCAAAAGCATAATGGCTACCATTTATTGAACATATTCTATATTTGAGGAGCTATAAATAAATGCCTTAAATTAATTACACAATTTAATCATCATCTCTTAAGAGGCAAGCTTCTGCTTCATTTTGCAGATGAAGAACTGAGGCCCAAAGAATTTAAGAAATCTGTCCAAGATGACATACCTACTAAATGGTGGAGATGGCACCAGAGCACTGGTCTGTCTGACTACAAGATCCTCCTGGCAATCCAAGGAAAAGATAGGTACTATCACCAGAGCCTGTCTAGCATTGCTGTGGTGAGGCCATCTTAGGTTGGGGGAGTGTGCCTCCTGATCTTCTAACCGCAGAGATCTTGCCCTGCCCTAGTCCATGTGCACCAAATAGCTTCTGAACCACGACTTGGTTTCCCAAATAGAACTGTCTATAAATGGAGAATACATTGGCAATACTAATGCAGGCATTTTTAGAATCCACAACAGTGATAGTTTTCACTGTAAATTACTACATTGGAATGTTGGCTTATGGATTGGTCTCTTTTGATTTGGGTTAATGTGAGTCATCCTTAAATGTAGTGACATCAGCATTAGAATTAATGCTCTAAACTTGTAAGACTAAGGACCAAAATTCGAACTGCAGTAATCTAACTGTGGTAATTCTATCTAAAGAACACAGGCTGACAGCATCTTTAAATTTCCAACATGATCTTTGAGCTATACCCTATGTTACAGCGTGCTTCTGTGTGTATTTTAAAATATTTTTAAGCATAAAACCAAAATTGAACAATATGCATTGATAGCTAACTCTATGTCTAGAACTCATTAATGTGCTTGATGTGAATTATAATAAAAATAAAAATAAAAATTACAATAATAGCAACATTTCTTATAGCACTCATTTTATGTCAAGCACAGTTCCTAACACTTTACTTAGGTACACTTTTTAAACCATCACAATAAACCTATAAAGTAAGTAATATTAGTATCCCCATTTTCAAGTGAGAAAACTGAGACTTAGAGAAGTTAGTTGATTTGTCCAAATAGCTTGTAAGCTGAAGAACTGGAACTTAAATACATAACATCCAAGGTCAGTTCTACACATGGCAATGCCAGATAAGTGGTTTTAAGCCAGTAGAGAACTAGAAAAGCTGTACACAATATTTTTAATAATTTGTTTGAAAACATGAAAGGCTACCAGGATAATAAGAATCTCTGAGCTGAAACCTGGGAGAGGAGGGAAGCCAAGAGAAATGAGCCTGATGTCTGGTGTCCTTGTATCCTTTGAAGCAAGTGCCTAATACAAATTGGATGGCTGAAAACCTAACCAGTTTCACAGATGCTGGAAGAAAAAAAATAGCAATTTGGGATTTCCAAAGGGAAGGTGTTCTTGTAAACACCTCACATTTTTGGATAAAACCAAAACTATACCCTAGATGTACAGATGCATCAGAAATAGACCAACCATCACAATGACAAAAGTTCCTTGTACTGTGGCAGGATTAAGATGATCTGTTCCTTGTCTAGCAACCCATCTGAACCAAAGAGTAAATCCTCTTAGAGGAAAGATATCATCTAGAGACTCAAAGGATTTCTGTAATTTTTCATATACAATATCTAACATCTAACAACAACAACATCCATGGCAATGTGGAAAGGAAGAGAAATAAAAATGTTTGTTTTTATTCTGTTTTGTTTTTACAAGGGACTTTATATGAAGAACTGAATTCCAAAAAAAGAAAAGAAAAAGAAAAAAGAAAGCTGACAATATTGGCAAACATGATTATCCATAGAAAATCTAAAAGAATCTGCAAATATACCATAAAATTAACATTTAAATCAACCAAGGTCACTGAATCCAATGTCAATGATTTAAAAAATTTAACAAACTCAATTTCTATACAGAAATAAATATCCAATGTATAAAATGATTCAAAAATACTGTTTAAAATAGCATCAGATACCTAGAGAAAAACTCTACTGCAAAATGCATGAAGACTTCTACACAGAGAGTTATAAAATATTACAGAGAGATTTTTTTTGTGTGTATTGTCAAATTAATAAAATGAGTATATTTTCTGATTTTGTGGAAACCAGGTTTCTCACCACGGTGGATAGAAGACCCAAATATGGAATCAGAGGAAAATGAGAAAGAATGGTCTGCTAGAATAGCCTAAAATTAATAACATCCCAATAGACAGGAGCACACCTAGCCCTGAAATATTGATTTCTACTTACTGTTTTCACTTAAAGGAACAAGACTTCTTATAGAAATAACTGATTGTAGGCCTGGGAAAGGACATGTCTGAAACATTTTGTGGTAGAAAGGAAGTATTCACAAACCAGAGACAGGTGAAAAAGATATAGGAGAATGTTAAAAGGGCTCACACCAGCCAAATCTGGAAATTTTGAGAATCTAAATGAGTGAGCAGTATGGACCTTAATGCACTGAAAAACAGTGAAAGAATCCAAGAGTAGATATTGACACAACAAAAGGAAGGGAGGAGGAAGGGAAGGAGAAGAAAGGAAAAGCTCTTGATAGCAGGATGATTTGGGCAATAATCATCAGTGAATGCCAAAACTACTGAGTAAACAGTTGCTGAGGACAAAATGCTTAAAAAATTTCAAAGCTATCCATCAGACACCACCTTTTAATTAAGTGGCCAAGCTTAACATCACAAGGGCCAATGTTACTTTTGGAATATTTCTGCCAAAAATGTTCAATTTTAATCTAAAGATAAATTTGAACAGTCAAACAAACACAAATTGAGATTCTACAAAATAACTGGCCAGTATTCTTTTAAAATACCTGTCATGAAAGATAAAATGAAAAGCTGAGAAACTGTTCCAGAGTGAAGAATACTAAAGAGATGTAAGAACTAAATAAAATACTTGTGAGAACTGCGTGGTGCTGGCAATCCCTCCCCACTCCTTGGCTGACTGCCACCCAAGCCACTGAGAGAGGTGAACCTTGTAGATCCTTGTGGCACTGGTGACCCCTCCCCCTTCCTTGGACCCGGAGGGGAGCGCCAGCCCCCACTGCCTGACCTGCCAAGGTGGCCCAGCTGGGGGCTCATTCTATGACCACAGATTCTGGAACAGGCCTCAAGGTGGTTTAACATAACCCATAACCACCACCACACCTACTACCAAGCAAAGACAATTCACCACCACAGTAGCAGCCAAGGCCACGCCACAGCCAACCTCAGTTTAACAGAAGAAGCAAACCGTCTACCAAATGACCAAATGTCAATGAAAAAACTACTAGAACTACAAATAAACAAGAAGAAATAACACCACAGAAAGAATACAGTAATGCTCCAATGCCAGACTCCATGGAACAGGGCAACCTTGAAATGTCTGAAAAAGAATTCCAAGCAATGATCTTAAGAAAACTTGAAGAAATAAAGGAAGACTCAATTAGAGAACACAATGAAACAAGAAAAAATAACCAGAATGTGAACAAGGAAATCTACAAAGAGATTAATACCTTAAAAAGAGTGTAGCAGAACTTCTAGAAATGAAAGATTCACTCAATGAAATAAAAACACAACTGAGAGCTTGAGCAGCAAGATAGAGCAAGCAGAAGACACAATTTCAGATCTTGAAGATGTTCTTTTCAAAATAACCCAGGCAGACAAAAAAAGGAAAAAAAGAATTTAAAATAATGAGGAAAGTCTAAGAGAGATAGCAGACAACCTCAAGTGCTCTAACATCTGAATTGTCAGTATTCCAGAAGGGGAGGAGAAAAGAAAAGGTATTGAAAATCTATTCAAGGAAATAGTAACAGAAAACTTCCCAGGTGTAGGGTGAGATACAGACCTTTGATCCAGGAAGCTCAAAGGTCCCCAAATAGATTCAATCCCAAAAGATCCTCCCTAAGACACATTATAGTTAAACTTGCAAAGCTCAAAGACAAAGAGAGAACTCTAAAAGCAACAAGAGAAAAATGTCAGTTCTCTTATAGGGGTACGCCCATCAGACTAATAGCAGACTTCTCAACTGAAACCTACAGGCAAGAAGAAAGTGGAATGATATATTCAAAATACTAAAAGAAAAAAAATTGACAGCCAAGAATTCTTTATCCAGCAAGGCTCTCCTTCAGAAATGAGGGAGAAATAGTGTATTTCGCAAACAAAAGTTGTGGTAGTTCACCACCACCTGACCAGCCATGCAAGAAATTCTCAAGGGAGTCATTCACCTGGAATCTGAATAATGGTGGCCACTATCACAAAGACACAAGAAAGAGCAAAACCCACCATTAAAACAAAAATGCCAGCAAGAAAGAAAAAGAAGCTAAATCATCTTACCTTAAATCTCCAACTAAGATTGAAGAAGAGAAAAAAAAGGGGAAAGAATGATCAAAAGATATTTAAACCATCTAAAGAAGAAGCAATTAAATGACAGGAATTAAGCAACACTTGTCAATAACTACACTAAATGTGAATGGACTAAACTCCCCAGTCAAAAGACATAGGCTGACTGATTGGATTAAAAACTAGACCAAAGTATATGCTGTCTTCAAGAGACCCACCTCACCCATAGAGACTCACACAGACTAAAAGTGAAGGGATGGAAAAAGATACACCATGCAAATGGAAACCCAAAATGAGCAGGAGTAGCTATTCTTATATCAGACAAATTAGACTTTAAACTGAAAAACATAAAAAGAGACAAGACCACTATATAATGTTAAAAGGATCTATCCAACTAGAAGACATAACAATTATAAATATATATGCAGCCAATACTGGAGCACACAGATATACAAAGCAAACACTCTTAGACCTAAAGAAAGAAATAGGCCCTAGTACATTAATAGTGAGTGATCTGAACACCCATCTCTCAGTATAGAACAGATCTTCCAGACAACAAGTCAGCAAAGAGACACAGGATTTAATCTACACCTTA